TCTCTCTCTCTCTCTCTCGCTGCTCTAGCCATGCCCTCGCTCCTCGCTCCTCCTACTCCTCCTTCTTCTCCTCTTCCCGCTCCTCCTCTTTCTCTCCTCCTCTCCTCATCTCATCCTCTCCTCCTCTCATCCTCTCCACCTCCTCCTCCTCCTTCATTCTTCCTTTCATCCTCGTCCTGCTCCTCATCCTCCTCCTCCTCCAACTCCTGGTCCTCCTCCTGCCCCTCACCCTCCCCTCTCTTTGTTCTCCTCCTCCCCCTCCTTCTTCTTGTCGTTAAACAGACCCTAGGCAAGTACATGGCCTCCTCCTCCTCCTCCTCGTACTCCTACCCCTCCTCCCTCATCATCCCTCCTTCCTCCCCCTCTTCCGTCCTGATCTCATCCCGCTACCGCCCTCGACATCCCCACCCCTCCTTCCCCCGTCCTCCGCCCCCAACCCCACAATGCTCCACCTCCACCCCCCCCTCCCGCCGCGCACTGCTCCTCTCGCCGCTCCCCGTCCGCTCCGCCTTCCGCTCCCGCGCGCCCCGACCCTGTGCCCTGCGCCCGCTGCACCAGCCTCTCCTCGTTGAAGGTCATGTCCGGCCACGGGCCACCCCCCGGCGACACGCCGCCAACGTCGTGCTCGCCTGGACTGCCAGTGCCGTCCTCGGTCGGGGGGGGCGTTTCGGTAGGCCGTGGGCCTTTGCGCTGGGCGTGCTCCTGATCGGAGGGGGTGTGCAGAAGTGACGGTGTGTGAATGTATGTATGTATGTATGTATGTATGTATGTATGGATGGATGGACGGACGGACGGACGGACGGACGGACGGACGGATGGATGGATGGATGGATGGATGTTTATGTACGTCTATATATATATATATATATATATATATATATGTGCGCGCGCGTGTGAAGGAGGGAGCGCGAGGTAGGATGCGGGCGTTCAGGGTGCTGCGGGCGTGCAGTGCTGCGCGCCTCGTGGCGCTGAGGGCCGCGCCAGAGGCGAGCTGAAAACACGAAGACGCAGGCATCCGCACCCTTCCGCAAAGCCTGGCAATGCAACAGCGCCACCGTGGCTCGCGAGGGCCAGCTGGTGGACCCGGCCTTAGGATCTTGATGGGGCCACAGGGGGGAGCAGAGTGAATGATGCGGCCATTCATAACGAGATTGCGAAACTGGCCCTGCAGCACGCATGTTGTCAGTTTGAGCCTAGCACGGGGGATGTCAGACACATCATGCGCGGCGGACTGTAGAAATCGTCGATCAGGCCGCAGGGGGCCGCGGTGTCCCCGAAGGGCATCAAGATAGCCACGAAACAGCCCCTGAATCTCCCCAAAACGTACTCCAGACGCCCAGAGATGGCCTCAAGAGGTTAGACAAAAAACTTGCATGGGTACCTCAGGAGGGACCCAGACGAGCGAAGGCTCCAAGAGGGCACAAGAGCGGTCCAGCGGCGCTCCAGGACCCACGGAAACCAGAAGAGAGCCCAAGATAGAACCAGGAGAGTTTCAAAAGGATCACATGAGAGCCCGAGAAGACCCTGTATGATAGACGGATGGCCCCCCCCAAGAGGGGGTTATGAGAGGTCCAAGTGTTCGGCCACGCGTGTCGAACCCAGAGCCTCCAAACATGTGCATGCGAATTGGCCCATGGTGGCCCACCGAGACTCCAGCTTGGCACGCTCGAAAGGCCCCGACACGAATGACGCGCCCGACGGCACGACGCGCATGCGCGAATTCCCATCGCCGACAAAATCTTCAGAGGGGTCTGGTCATCGCTTCTGGGGATCATCACATGGGATGATCCCTTTCTGAGGGCACCTCTGCTAAGTTGCAAGCCTTCTGCACACGCCAACGAATTTGTGGAAATCATCTTGCTGCACGGTGCAACCTGCAAACGCGGGGCTGCCTTCCACCATTCGTCTGCGAGCTCGAACACCGCGCCGCCGATGCACGGGCCGCGATTGGCTGCGCTGCTGGCGCTCAGGAGCTCCGCCGAGAGCGCCGAGGTGGCTTCTGCCTCGCAGCCGAGACCGGTTGCCAAAAGCAGGGCTCCAGAAGGCGAGAGACATGGGGAAGAGCAGGTTCATACAACCCCCCCCAGCAGACCCTGACATCGCCAGTGGAGCACACTTCTCGACTCGGAAGTACCATCCAGCCGTACGGGCTCGTCAGTATCAACCAAACCTCGCTCCAATGCAAAACATGAGTGGAACCAGGCCCAGGGGTGCAGCTCTGCCGCTGGCCGCAAGAGGGAGACACTCAGTGTGCTCCCTCACCAGGTCGCTTGTTATGCGTTTCGAAACCACCACGGAAGGCATCTGGCAGCGCCAAGGTCGAACGCACGGAGCATATCTCATGCGTGCCTCTTGCTCTGGTCAGTCGAAAGCCCCGACGGCGGTGCCATGGACACGTACAAGAGGCCCCTCCCCGACAGACCCCTTTGCGCAGCGGCCCCGGAAGCCCGTGGCCTGCGCCGCCTCGTTCGGCTGTCCAGCGCGCGCGTCGTACGCGTCGGCGCCGTACTCGCCAAGGAACATGGGCAACTCAGAAACCCGCGACCAAGTGTCGAAGAGGTCTCCTCGGTCACCCCGCGCGCGGCCGCCGCGCCCTCCCACGACCTCGCCCTTGCTCTCGCGTCTAGAGCTCTCCTCTCCATGCTCCCACCCCGCCCCACACCGGAACAGGCTTTCCAAATCCTACTCACCATCCCGACCTGCCTGGTCCGATCGATAATCCCGATCCTCGGAACGACCACTCGAAAATTCAGTCGCTTCGGTCTTCGTCCTCGCCCCCCTCATCCCTCTCTCTCTCTCTCGCGCGCCGGCTATAACAGGCCCTACTTTCTGATTTCTAGCTGGAGGACAACCAGACCAGACCCTACCTGAACAGTAAGCTTGAGACTGAACGCTCGCCTCTCGCCCTGCATGCCTCGATCACGCTGGCAAGTTGCACCACACTGCGACTAGACGAACCACTGTTCTGTGGTGTTAGATGCTGCACTGTGCTCTGGGGATCTCTGCGTCGGACGCTTGGCGCAGGTCAGGCGCCTCGTCTAGCGCCTCTGGCCGCTCTGGCCGCGTCCCCCCCCTCCCAGATCTCAACCTCGGTCCGGCCAGCCTGCTCAATCCCTGGGCGAGGGCGAGGGATATTCACAGAACTGTCGAGCTGCTCCTCCTCCCTTCCCTCTCATCTTCCCTCCTCCTGCCTCCTCCTACTCGTGCCTCCTCCTCCTCCTCTTCCTCCTCCTGCTGCCCCTCCTCCCACGCTCTGGCTCCAAACGTGAGGCCGCTGTATTTGTTGACGCCCCAGATGTCGACGCTCGACAATGCCTCGTTGGCTGGGCGGCGGGGCTGGTGGAGCACCAGGCCAAGGGCTTCTTGCACACAGGGGTGGGCGTCAGCCGCGAAGAGCACCCGGAAGCTGGAACACGCACACACGCAGACACACACACACACACACTCTCACGCAAGCACACACACACACGCGGTTGAGCACAACGCAGATATAGATAGAGATACCAACATCGTGTACGACTGGATATCAGAGTTCAACCCAAACTTCAAAAACTTGAATCTGTTAACTGTGGACCGACACTCTCTAGTACAATCGACTTCGGGCTCTGATTAGCGCCAAGACCCCCACTGCAATCACGAGTGGCAATGGGGGCTAAGACAAGGAATCAAAGCTCACATATCGGATAGTACAGTTGTCAAGACGAGGATGAAAAGTGAGTTGTCTGCACGGCAGGCCAGGACTAGAGTTGAGCTGATTTAAACGTCGCCTGCTGATCGTCGACTCTGCTCGGAGGAGAGCCTGCCAGACAGAAGATCACAAGACTGAACCAAAACGGATACGGGCAGCGGCACGTGGGCACGCGCACGCGCAGTGAGACGGAGAATACAATCACTTGCAACATCAGACGACAAAAACGAAGCTGAGGTCAAGCACGCACACACACACACACGAAACCCACTCCCACGGGGCGTGTGACAACGGTCGTGCATTAGCTGGTCCACGCAGCAATCCGAGAGAGCACGAAGTGAGCAGAGGCAATCTGGACTATAGCCTGTCAGAGAAGCCTCATAAGCATCGACCTATAATCTCAGCAAAGGACTCGGTAACTCAGATTGGGCTCTTTTGTCCTCGTGTACCACATGCACGTCAGAAGGGGCAAATCCTCACGAAGACCCCTGCGAAGTTCGAGTATTGACCGGGCGCGCCAAGCACAGCCCAGAGCCCGTCGGCAACGGCGACAAGATACGCAAGTTGCATGATCAAGGGACTTGCAAAAAGCCAGACGTCAGAGCAAACACCTTCAAACATTCTAGTGCGATGGAGCGGAACTTTCGACTATCCGTCCACAGAGGCCCATGGGCTCCGTAGATGCCGGCTATGAAACCACATCGTAGGTATGACAGCATGTCCACGCACACGAGGTCGATGCTATGGGACTCGAACTGCCCAACAGATGACCACAGAATTTGTCCGCCAAGCGAGTCAGCACGATGCTGGGCAAGCCATTCTTCGGCTCGATAGTCACAAGCACATCGGAAAAGCTGATAGGCGGGAAGATGTGCAACACTGGCTGGATGGTGACAACCCCGAAGCACTCCTGTGGCCCATCCAAATCAAATGCCGACGTGTTGGCATAGACACGTATAGAAATATTAATCAACCAAAATTGGCACCTCTTCTTGGACATGGGCGTGCAATCAGCAACCACACGAAAACGATATAATCGTCGTGATGGGAATTCCATGTCGCATTGGTGTTCGCGGAAGCACACTGTAGCATCACATATTGCCGGCGATAGCGGACCCCGCGTCCGGACAACATGCAATTGCTTGAGGACGACGCCCCCAATCGATAGAAACGAAGCGTCAAGTAGACATCGGTGATCTTCTCCAACGGGTTGACGAATAAGAACAACAAGACAACAAGACAACAAGTTTTATGACATCAGCAAAAGACTACACCGACAGACAGGTGTTGACGCGTCAATCGAAAACCTTACACTTAGCAGAACGATCGCTCCAAAATTAAGTCGTTCGAAGGCCTGCCCAGCGTCTGCAATCGCAATGTTTGGCGACCGAACGCAAGTACTACATACTTTTTTTGATTCGCGGGTCGAGAGCGAGCCTTTTCCGGTCGAAGCTAAGCGGGCCGCGCACAGCTTTAATTAACAGAGGAAGGAAAACAGAAGGCGGGGCCTCACGTCAAGGCCAAGAGAGGGCAAAGCCCCGGGAGCAGGCGGTGCCGAAGGCGGAGTGCATGCAAAGGAACGCCTTGAGCATGAACCCGGAGGCGAAGTACCGGGAGGTAAAAAGCTGGTGGTGGTGCCGTCAGCGGCGCATCATGTACACCATCCCCATAAACTGCGGGAGAGGACGCGCCACGCATCCAGGGCGACGCCCGAGAGGATGAGGAGCACCGCTGGGCCGGAGTGCGACGTTGTGCCACCGAGCAGGATGCAGGAGAGGCCCAGGCCGTGGTAGTCCAAGGTGCCACGTACAGGGAAAAAGAGCCGCAGTCTGAGGCGCGGCTGCCGGGCGGAGCCACAAGTACTACATACACTACACGTGCAAGAAGAACTGGGGCCACGAAGACCCAAATAAGACTCCCAGGGGAATTGCGAGACCCCGCCAATCGAATCCACAGACCATCCACGGACGAAGAAGTGCTTCGCAAAATAACAGTATGCGCGCGCACGCCTGCCAGAACCCCCCGGATTGAACTCGCAAGAGAGAACACATGCTTCTTCGATGGCAAGCATGCGCAGGCCTCGAACACAGATGTAGTGACGGAGGCGGTATCACATGGGCGACGTCACAATAAGCAGGCCAACGTTTAGACTTGAGTGTCGAAAGAATGCTCAGCAACGTCTTCGTATACACTGGTGTCGATTTCATACGTAGGCAGCGACGTAGGGATACCTCATTCGCGCGTCGAAACTTTGACACAAAATCATCAAGCGTCATGTCGCTCAAACTCAGCGTGTCAGTCTTATGGCCGAATATGGAAAGCCATCGTAACGCAAGCTCGGAAGAGTCAGCTAATCATATAGAATTCGGACCCTTATCCGCTGACAACACAACAACACTTTTCCCAATATTACCAAAAAGGATATCAGATATATGAGGGATGGCGAAATCCAGCCCTGTCCAAGACCCAATGTTGGAACTACGATGCCAGGGCACAAGTAACGAGGCCATCTGCGGAGCCAGAGTCCAGAGACCAGAAACGAACGTGCACATCGAGTAGCACATGATATCATACCGAAGACGAAGATTCTCAGCGGCCACCTCCCACCAAGCGGAACACGTATGATATCATATCCAGCAGCAGCGCGTGTAAGGCGCTGCATATTGATATCAAGAGAGACCTGAGTTGGACCGATCTGCCCAAGGCAAAATCGAACAAGTGGTCCGCTAAAGGTTGACCGTCGGCGATCCAACAATTTTGCCCGCTCCAACAAGAGGCTCCCAAGGTGGGGCCAATCAGCACAGATGCCAGAAACAACGAACACAATAGTTTTGTTGCAATTGATCGCCACGTGGAGTGTGGCACAGTCACGCACCATCCACGTGGCACTGGACAGAGTAGAAACTCGCCGATGGAATCCAAGGCGATCATGCATGTGCGGAAGCACCCTGGACTCACCCCCAACACGACACGCGAAATCGGTACCGCAGCCAGATTGCCGACAGGCCGAACTCCAATAGAGGCAGTACTCCTAAGACGGAGCATGCTTGAACAAAAAGCAAAAGTAACTCGGGTCGTAGATGTTGACTGGCCCCACGAATCCAAATCCACGCAACACATTGCTATAACATTATATATGTAACACAAAAAAACGCGGAAACGCGCCCGTGCAAGAGCAACCCACAATCGAACATCATGCTTGTCTGCAGCCCGTTCGCAAGTCCGCCGTAGGATTCGATCAAACAAGGTAGTCTCTCCACGAAAGAGCCGCTGTTAAACACCACATGCACTTCTTCGGATCCTCGTGGTAGCCCGCTAGCGAGGGCGACGGTGATCGTGAAGATGGACAGGAAAAGCGGGCGCGCGAGCGGGCACGCCGTTCGCATGTGGAGACACAATCTCAATATGTGCGGGCTCAAACGCAGGGGCCTGGTATGAAAGAACGTGGTCAAGAAACAGCAGATCTAATTCGGACTGGCTCCCTCTACCTAAGAGTTTGTATCTATAGGAAAGCGTAGAGAGCGTTTCTTTATGTTCGGCGATGACGGGCGTCATGGGGGGTGGGGGGGGGGCGCGGGGGGGGGGGCATGACGTAACGCCGCCCCCCCCGCCGTGGCTCCGGCACCACAGCCGCGCCCGCGCGCACGACGCGACGAGCGACGAGCGACGAGCGACGACGACGACGACGACGACGACGACGAGGACGACGCGAGCAAAATGTAGGTGGCGATATGCCCCACTGCGCCTTTGTACACATCGCTCGCGTGCACCACAACGCGCGCGAACACCACAACACCTGCGTACACCGCAAGAACCGTGTGCAACGCAGCGCCTTTCTACACCAGTGCTTGCGTACACTACAGCGCCGGTGTACATGTGTACACCGCAGCAACCATGTGCAACAGAGCGCCTGTGTACACCACAGTGCCTGCGTGCACCGCAACGCCTGTGCACGCCACAGCGCCTGTCTACACCACAGCATCCGCGTGCAACGCAGCGCGACTGTACACCAGTGCCTGCTTGCAGGACAGTGCTGATAATCGAATGCGACGTTCTTCCCTCTTCCCTCCTCCTCCCCCTCCACCTCCACCTCCTTGTCATCATCCTCCTCCTCTTCCTCCTCGTCGTCGTCGTCTTCCTCCTCCTCCTCCTCCTCCTCCTCCTCCTCCTCTTCCTCCTCCTTACCCCCTGTCGTGCGGGGTGGCGCTACAGCGCACGTGCGCAGTTCAGCGCGCAGTGCACCGCATAATGGTTTATTGAATCGGTCCACTTGGTTCTCGCACGGCCAATTTAGCTGGAGCCTCCTGGACGCAGATGGAAAAAATTAGGGTGATGCGGGTGGATTCGGGAAAACTCGTAGATTTCAGCGGCGCTCCTTTGGCCGTAAGGATTACTTTGTACTGCTTTCTGTGGAATCCACAAGCGCTCCATTTTGTCATACGGATTCCTTCTAACATTCGATATGCAAGTGTGGCGCTGTGTTGCACACGGTTGCTGTGGTGCACACCGGCGCCGTGGTGTACACAGGCACTGCAACGCACGCAGGCATTATGGTGTACACTGGTGCTGTGTTGCAAACGGCTGATGTGGTGTACGCAAGCGCCGCGGTGTACACAACAGCTTTTGTGCCCGCGAGCACGGTGGCACAAACTGACGCTGTGTTGCACGCGGCCGCCGTGGTGTACATAGGCGGTGTGGTGTACACAGGCGCTGCGGTGCACGCAGGCACTGTGGTGTACACGGGCGTTGTGGTGCAAATCGCCACCTACATGCTGGTGCTACCCGTCCTCCGTCATTCCTACGCATTCCCAGACGCCGCCGGCGCGAAACATGATGTCATCGACCCCCTCCACACCCCCTCAGATGATTGCCGTGATCGGCCCGGAACAAATAACAGGCTCCAGCCGCGTCCGTGCGCACGACGACGATGAGCGACGAGCCACGAGCGATGACGACGACGACGACGACGACGACGACGACGACGACGACGACGACGACGACTGCGGACCAGACTCCTATGCGGAATCTTACGCGGACACCTTCGCGGATCCCAGCGCGCACGGCGGCAGTGCCCGGAGCGCACTGGGGGGGGGGAGCGTTACGTCATAGAGGGGGGGGGAGCGGGGGCCATGACGGCCGTCATGCCCCAAGCAATAAAGAAATGGTCTCGTATCAGACGTGTAACCTCCGAAAAGGCATGAAACTAAACATTAACGTGTAAACGAAAACGCACGAAAATCCCGGGCTGCCGTGAACTTGGTTTTCTGCACTGCCCTGGTCTCAAATACAGGCACCGCAAACATAGCTGGTATATGTGATGTCGTCCAGGGTCACGGGACAAGCGAATCCAAATCTGAATCAAGAAGACATGGATGACCTCCAGAGCGTGTACAAAGCCAACACAACCTGGCCTGAGCACCCCTGACCGCCGGTGAGAATCCACGAAGAGCTTGAGAAGCAACGCTACGCTGACGAGCACCTTCCATGCTCGTCGCCCGCCGTAACGTCAAAAAGAAACGACAAACCGAGACCAGAAGCAACACACTCCAAAGTACCATCGGGCTACGTGGATTACGTAGCTCATCAACCAATTCCACCTGATCATAACTTAAATCGTGGAGAGACCGCTATACAAGCCTTCCCGAAGAAGCGAATAAATTGTGCACGCGAACATTTAACGCAGCGTACACACCCACATGTTTTTTTCCACATGTGACCTAAGCCACTGTCTAGCTAGCTCAAACAAATGATTAGGAATCGTATCTTCCCCATTCACATCAAGTGCAGATGAAGATAACCCTCGAAGACGCTGCCGAAGTACATCCGGGGCCCCTCGGCGTGGACGAGAACTCGGCATCGTTGGCTCGAATGTAAGAGACGCCAATGGTACATCCAAAAGGCTCCAAGGCAGGCGTCGACACACGGTTGAGCACAACACATATATATATATATAAAAATATATAGATACCAGTATCGTGTATGATTGAATCTCAGAGTCAAAACTCAACCCTCGAGAGAAATTAATACGTTAACTGTGGCTCACGCTCTCTGGTACAGCCGCTTTCGGGTTCAGACTAGCGCCAAGACCCCCACTGCAATCTGGAGTGCCAATAAGAACGACTCTCAGGAATCAAAGTTCACATCACATATCGAATAGTACAGTTGTCAAGACGATGATGAGGCGTGAATTCTGTCTTCACGGCAGGCCGGGACTAGAGTTGAGGGCTGCTCGGAAGAGGGCCTGCCAGACAGAAAATCACAAGACTCATCCAAAACGGATTCGGACAGCAGCACGTGGGCACGCGCACTTGCAGTGCGACAGATAATACAATCGGAGCGGAGCGGAGCGGCCTGACGTCCACTCCCTGCCGGGAGCGGTCCCCTGCTGGCAGTCATAGAAACTGCCTGCAGGGAACCGCTCCAGGCAGTCATAGGAACTGCCTGCAGTCATAGAACCGCTTGCAGCATAAGACGACAAAAATGAAGCTGAGGTCAAGTACACACACACACACGATGGCATTCGCCGCGCATGGAAATCCACACTGGACGGAAGGGCGATCGTCAATACGTGGCCGCGGTGTCGTGGTCGGAGTATGATTCAGTTGAAGAGTCAAGCTGGCTGGCTCGAACGAGTCAGCAGGCCTCACCTACTCCCGGCCACCCTTCCATGACATAAACAGAAGTGCTGGCAACACTGGATGATGGAACGGGCGCGCGCTCCCACCCAACAAGCGGGATGCGCTCGCACGCGCTCGCGTGCGGCCATGCTTCCGACGACATGGCGAAGGAAACCATGGGCCGCGAGCAGGCGGAAACAGAACTTTCAGAAAAACCTGGCGTTACCCTGAGGCGACAATACGATTGAGCTCTGTCGCGCACATGCAGGCCTCCGACAGGACTGGCGAGGTCAAAGCATGCGCCGCACCCAAGCGGACACGCAACTAAACAATCTCTGCGGAAACGAGACCGACATTTGCGTCTCTCGGGAGCGGCCCCACTTCCGACGGTTGGGCAAACGAATAACATGCGCCGCGCCCAAGCGGGAGCGCCATACCCTGGCGAAGCATGCGCACTTGGGTAAGAGCGGTATTTCGCTCGCTCGCGCGCGGCCCCGTGCCCGACGAGCAGGCGAGCAAAAACCTGCACCGCGCCAAAGCGGCAGTACACTTTTCAAATTCACGCACAAATATGTGAACCTAACATGTAAAAATGTAGATGTGCCGCGGTGAGGCGACAATGGCATTGCGACAATTCGCTCGCGATATACGCCGCGTCCCCTTCCTGCCACGCATTTTGCAGGCAACGTCGACGACCAAATGTCCATGGTGTGTATATATAACATACAATTGGCATTGCGCCGCTGTCTGATGGGTAGGCTGGGAAGGGGACCGACACGGCCCTAAACCGTCGGCCAGGAGGCAGAGTGAAAGTCATACACGAATGCAATAACACGCGTAGGAGCAGGAGTCGAGCGGACCCGCCCACTGACACCCTCCCTCCTCTCAGTATAAGAATCAACGCCTGCCGCCGCAATTGTATATTGGGCCTCGCGACCCGGCGTCTGCTCCCTGCTCTCACCTGACAAATCGAAGGCGCTCGTTCGCGCGAAGCTCTGCTTCCATAAACGTGGGGAAGGGAATTCGGGGATCTACTGACCAGGGTCAATCCAAACCCGGGTCAGTCAGGATTTGCAGGATCCTGCAAGATCCCGCAAAATCCTGCAGGATCCTGCACGCTAGCCCGAGTCAATGCACCCCTGGCTCTGCAGAATCCTGCAAGATCTGGCACTCTGGCTGACCCCCGTCCCGTGAGCCCCGAGAAATCACCTGCCACGCCCGCCCTTCCGGAGCGCAGCTGACAGACATCACACACGCGGCTCTGATCCCGGCGGCTTGGCAAGGGGAAAGGACAGCCCGAGCCTCAGGGGAAGCGCAGATTTCTGGAAAGACCTGCGCGGCGGTGAGGCGAGAGGGATACTTCGCTTTCTTGCTCGCGACCCAGCCTCCAACAAGCTGGCAAGTGAACGCAATGCACCGCGCCAAATCGGGAGCGCAGCTTACAGTAAAAGCTGCACGTCGCTGAAGCGAGCTTGATATTTCCTTGCGGACGACGTGCGCCGCGCCCAAGCGGGAGCGCATCTCCTGTGCTGCGCTGCGGCGAGAGCGACATTCGCCCAGAGCGACATTTTGCCCCCTCGCGTGTGACGTGCGTTGAAATGTCGGCGCCACAAAACGTCCAGCTTGAACGGGGAAGCTTGGATTTCACACTGTGCTTTGGTCGGTAGAGTGGAGAGTCCCGCTCGGGGCTGCCAATCGCGGCGAAGGCGAGGGGAGCGGGAGCAGATGTACGCCAAGAACAAAGGCCAGGGAGCAGGAGCGGAAGGAGGCAAAACCCTATGCAGCCTCTCCCCTCCTCCGGCCCCTTCCAGGTGAGCTGGCCCCCTTGCCCCCCGAGCAGCGAGGGAGAGGGGGAGAGCCAGAGGGAGGAAGAGGAGGGATTGGAAGGGGAAGGGGGAGGAGAGAGAGGGCGCGGAGGAGCGAGGAATAGAAAGAGGTGGGGGACAGGGAGGCACGGAGTGATCGAAGGTCGTGCCTTCAGGGTGTCTGCACTGGGCAGCTCCCCGTGCACGGTGGCCACGGGGTGGCCTTGGTCCACCTCCTTGATGATATCGACGACCTTGGAGACCTTGGAGGAGGAGCGGCAGCACCCAGGCAGAGGCCTCCTCCTGAAAGAGCGAGCGCGAGCGAGCGCGCCGTCTGGGCAAAGGCCCCAGCCCGTTGGTCAGGCGCCGCGGCGGCGCCGCGGCGCCTCCCCCCGAAGGCAGGGAGGCACCGGAAGACGGGGAGAGGCGGGAGGGGCAAGGAATGGAGGGGCAGGCACCCCGAGGCGCGGCCGGACACGCGAACGAGGCTCATGGCCCAGCCGAGCCTGGGGAAAGAGTGGCTGCCCGCAGTGGGGAGGAGGCCGGCTGACCTGGACGCGATGTTGCAGCGCGTTGTCAGCTGGCACACAGCACCCGTTTGACTGGGGCTCGCTTGGCTGGACTGGCGCCTCACATCTGCGGTCGTGCCACGCGAAGCCATTAAACGTGGTATGCCAAAGAACTTGCGAAAGCAACGCGCCAATGGTGCCAACAATTCAACGCCCGACTCATGCTCGAACTGAGGACAAGGCTGCGAGACGCCCGACCGTGGACGAGAGACGGCGAAGCGACGGATGGAGCCTCAGCGCCTGGGGTATCCGAATCCGAAAGCGAAAGCGACCCAAGCCGCCTCCCTTTGCGAAGCACTCTCATCTTCACGCCCTCGCGTTGGCCATTGGAGAAGACTCGCTCTCAAGCCCAGACGGAGACAGCGCGGCTGTCTTCACGCCCGCGCGGGTGGCCCAAGAACGACCAACTGAGGTCGGATCATGGACCGCCCCCCGGTCGGCCAGGTCCGACTGGATCCGACGCCAGGGCCGGCGGGGCTGGCACTGCGGGGCCTTGGCCAACGTTTCCTCGAAGGGCAGGCCGTAGTACAAGCCTCGCCGGGCACGTCTGCTCGCCCCCCTCCCCTGGCGACGGTGATGGCGGCGGCGGCCATGGAAGAGGTTCTTCGACGCGCGCAACGGCCTGACAGACGGAGGGGGGAAGACGACGTCAACGGCTCGGAGCCCGCGCGGCTCGCTCGACAGGCACTTCTTCGGGGATCTGCCGCGGCAGGCTATTTCCTTCGGAGGCTTCCAGCTCCAAATCGGCCCACGACCCCGCTCCTCCCCTCCCCTGCTTCCTCTCTTTGCTCACCGCCTCTCCCCCCGCTCGCATCACTCCGTCCCTAATTACTGCCTTCCTCCCCCTCTCTTCCCCTCCCCCTTTCCCCATCCTGCGCCCCTGCTTCTCCCTTCCCCCACTTCGTCACGTCCCGTTCTGTTCCCCCTCCCTCCCCCTCCCAGCCCGACGGCGGCCAAAACCTTGGCCCACCAAGGCGCCCTCTATCCGCCCGAGCAGCGCTAGCCAGACGCACCGGCGCCCAAGCCACTGAGGCGTCCAATCGCGATATTCTCTCACCGAGCGGAGCTCCCTTTCGGACCCCTACCCGAAGCCCGAACTGCGGACGCCCGACGCCTGCTGCGTGGGTGACATCGGACATGGCGTCAGCCCGCCGTACTTCAGCTGGCTCCCGCTGAAAAGGCACGCGTTCCGCGTTGCCTTCCGCGGCCCCCGTACCGCTTTTTGACATTGTCAGGGCTGGGGGATGAGTTCAGGGAGGAGGGGGAGGAGGAGAAGGAGGATGAGGAGAACCGTATCGGGGCGAACACTTGCACGCCTCATGGGCCACCGGGCGGCGCGCGCCGCTTCCCCCTTTCGCTCTTTCGGCTCCGCAGTTGATGGTGTCTGCCGCGCGCCTCCAGTGGATATTGGAGCAATTGCAGGCAGGCAGACAGTGCAGCGCGCGCATCAATAGCCATCCCAAGAAGATCGTGTGCCATATCATTCTGCATCAGGGTTCCAGCGTTCACATGCATAATGTTGCAACGATAAGCCTGATACACAATTTGTCACAACTGGTTGATCGCTATTCAGTGGTTGATCATGGGCATCGGAATTCTGTTGGCGAGTCACGTTTCCACTATTTACAAACAGCCTTTACCTGTTCATTCCGCGGAATCCCGTATCGTCGTTGGTGCAGATCAGGAGGAATTTGGACAAATTCGTCAGCCAGGCGGCACTCGCATGTACAATTCGCATGGCCACGCCCCTGGAGGTGGTTGCGTTCCGGGTGACCTTGCGCGAGATGCTCAAAGCACACCGTCGGGAGGGACGAAGACCACAGCGGAATCACCAGAGACCGTAGTTATGCGTCGCGAAGAGGGACTCGATCCAGCTGCCATCCAAGAAACGGTACGCGACGCCAATGCTAAGGCACACGAGAAGGATAATTGCACGTCCAGGCTCATCCAGTCGGCCGAAGAAAAGGTCACGATGCTGTCTGAGTTGGTCGAATCTGCCCTTCCGGAACACCTCGGTGCGGTCTCAGCCAAAGTGTCTCGAGGCAGCGCTGGTACGGTACAAGCTGCTAGAGTCCGATACCATCACCGCATTGGCCGATGCACGGGCTGCTGTTTTGCGAGGGCCCTCTGCGACAGAGAACTCGCCGAACCAGAGCTGAACGCCACCGCCTGCAACTGGTGCATTGCAAGATCGTCTCAAAGCCGCCCAAAGCACCGTGGTCCGGGCACGGCTGACTTCGAGAAAGTGGGCTGTCATGGTTGAGCAGTTGGATTTCGACTGGGATGTGAGATAGTTTGGTTGCACATTGAAGGGCATGTGAGCTGAGCGGGGAATGCAGCAACGTTGCAGCATCTGCCTGACGCGCTGGACGCGGCTCGGAATGCCTCGTCGCCTTGCTGCGCTCGGCTCGTTTTTGTGTGCCTGTCTCTGCGGGCCCTTGTGGGCCGTTGCTTCTTGGGACGCCCTTAACCCAAGCTCCCCCCTTGCGGGCCCTCCTCCTCTTCTCCTTTCTTCCTCCTTTGCGTCCTCCCTCTTCGGGGGGTGCGTGGGCTTTGGGCTGGTCCTCTCCGTGTGGCTCTTGGTCTGGGGGATCCTCGTCGCCACTGCTTCCATCCTGCTTTTTCTCGCCCTATCCCCGTGTATAGGCTTCGACTCTCTTGCCTCAGGAACGAACGAACGAGGAGGAGGAGGAGGAGGAGGAGGAATGTTAAAGTACTGGGGAGTCGCAGCAGCAGGCGGAGGACGACGGCGGCACGAAGCCGATGAAGACGAAGGGGAAGAGAAGGAGGCTGACAGAGGGAACAAAGACCAGGAGGAGCGAAAGTAGTACAAGACAGTAACGCGCTATTTGCCAAGTCCAAGAACGATGGACTCTGAAGCAGCGGAGGACGCGCAGAGGACACAGTCCAGGATAGCTTTATAAAGTATGGCAGAGACTGCGAGGGGTATTCTGCAACAGCACACCTTGAAGAGTCATGCTGGGCTTCCTGCTCCTGGAGGAGCGGGCGGGAGCGTCCGCGTGGCCCTACAGATTACAAAGACCGCACCCGGTGGGCGGGACGGATGGGGCCACACCCGATGGAGAACCATGAATGCTCACCCGGGGTGAGACGGCAGTTGCCTTGACAAACACCGGGTCAAGGAGCGCCCGCGAGGCCGGCGAGGTCGCGTCGGGCTGGCTGGTGTCGCTGGACTCGCCGTGCTGTCGAGAGGCTTGCGCGGGGGTGTGGCTGCGTGAGCTCGCGGAGGGAACGTGGCTGCGGAAGGACGCCCGGGTGCCATCGCCCCTGCTGTCACGTTGACCTTCGTGACTGCGTCGGGCCGCGTGCGTATTGGCCGTGTGGCTCGGATGCCATCGTGCTTCGTGCTCGTCGGCCGTGTGGCCCTGGCGCCGGCTCAGAGTCGACTGTTTGGGCGGGTGGCAGATCATTCCTGCAGCAATGTTCCATACCTGGCGAAACTGCCAGGTGACATTGTACCACGACCGCAGCAATCTGCCCGATGTGTCGCACGTCGGATGCAATCAGCAGAGGAGAAGAGATCGGACACCCCAACGACTCAATCAGCCCAGGGGTCAGTGCCTCAGTGTCGCTGATGTCATCGTTTGGCAGTTCGTCGGTGGGCAGGGCACGCTTGCTCGTAATGCCCTTAAGATTAAATCATCGGCAGGAGCGTGACCCACTGGAAAATCACCAAGAGTGAGAATCGGAACTTCACCACGTCAGAATATGAATCTCTCTTTCGGCGATTCGCCTGCTCGGCCACAGGCAACTGAACCGTCGCCTAAATCACATCGTCGGCGGGAATTAGCTCAAACCCAATTGAATGGTCTAGATGAGCTGCAGCTCAACCTTCAACCCCCATCGGCCAAACATCATGGCAACCGTCTCGCGCCTAGCCAGTGTATCAGCGTCTGTGGGCGCAGTAGCCTTTCCCACCTTGCGCTGCAACCGATGGTCCCCGTGTCACTTGTACTTCGACCTGTCGGGGGGTCGCCAGAGCAGAATCAGTTACATGGCAATCGCGGGCTGCCACAGAAAGATCTCGAGGATGCTCACAGCTCGAAATCAAGGAAGATGATGGTAAGAGAAAGGGCAGCGTAGAAGGACGAAGAGGAAGAGAAGCAGAATGAGGCTTCCGAAATGCAAGCCCATTCGTGGCCAGTGGCCCTGCGACCAGGCGGCCGCGGCAAATGGGCAGCGTGGCAGTGGCGGCTTTGGTGCCACCCATGGGCCATTGTAGTTCCACTCGTTGCCAACGAGCCACATCAAAATGGCGGGGTGGTGCATCACGGCCCTCACCTGCCCCCAGCCTCCGCGGCTGCCCCTCAGATTGACTCCATCTGCTGTTGCCTCCACTGTTTTTTTTATCATCGCTGCTCGCACATCTGCATTACCAGTCTTGCTTCTCGCAGCTGCAATGCATACTAGAAGAAACACATGCGTGCCAAGGCTCCTACGTGCGGGCCAGGGGTCTGACAACAATTATCCCAGTGCGACTCTACCTAGGAGTTGGAGCCTCTAGGAAAGCAACATTAGTAGGAGCTGTAAACGCCGTGCTCCTCCTTCTCCTCATCGTCGTAGTTGTCGCAGTAGCGGTAGTAGTAGTAGTAGTAGTAGTAGTAGTAGTAGTAGTAGTCGTCGTCGTCGTCGTCGTCGTCGTCGTCGTCGTCGTCGTCGTCGTCGTCGTCGTCGTCGTCGTCGTCGTCGTCGTCGTCGTCGTCGTCGTCGTCGTCGTCGTGTAGTAGTAGTAGTAGTATAGTAGTAGTAGTAGTAGTAGTAGTAGTAGCAGTAGCAGCAGAGTAGTAGTAGTAGCAGCAGCAGCAGCAGCAGCAGTAGTAGTAGTAGTAGTAGTCGTAGTAGTAGTAGTAGTAGTAGTAGTAGTAGTAGTAGTAGTAGTAGTAGTAGTAGTAGTAGTGTAGTAGTAGTAGTCGTAGTAGTAGTAGTAGTCGTATAGTAGTAGTAGTAGTAGTAGTAGTAGTCGTAGTAGTCGTAGTAGTAGTTGCAGTAGTAGTAGTAGTAGTAGTAGTAGTAGTAGTGTAGTAGTAGTCGTAGTAGTAGTTGTAGTAGTCGTAGTAGTCGTAGTAGTAGTAGCAGCAGCAGTAGTAGTCGTAGTAGGAGTAGTAGTAGTAGTAGCAGGAGTAGTAGTAGTAATAGTAGTAGTAGTAGTAGTAGTCGTAGTCGTAGTAGTAGTAGTAGTACTAGTAATAGTAGTAGTAGTAGTAGTAGTAGTAGTAGTAGTTGTAGTAGTAGTAGTAGTGGTAGTAGTAGTAGTAGTAGTAGTAGTAGTGGTAGTAGTAGTAGTAGTAGTAGTAGTAGTAGCAAGTGAAGCAGCTGCAGAAGCAGGCAGCAAGTCGCCGAGACAGCAGCAACAGCAAGCAGGCACGGAGATGAGGGCGGGGCACCGGGGAGTTCTTCACATCTACATATGGATGCTGTGCTGCGCTATGCTATGCTACGCTATGCTCTGCTCTGCTATGCTATGCTATGCTATGCTGCGCAATGCCATGCTGGGCTAGGCTAGGCTATGCTATGCTATGCTGCGCTATGCTATGCTGCGCTGTGCTGTGCTATGCTATGCTATGCTTTTGCTTGCCTTCGCTTTTGCATTCACTTTTGCCTTTGCTTTTGCTTTTGCTTGGCACCCAGGGAGCGCAACTGGGGGAACCACGCGTTTGCTTTTACCTTTGCTGTTGCTTTTGCTTGGCTCCCAGGGGACTGGGGGAACCGCCCGGGGCGGTTTACACTGCCCGGCCCCTTGAAGCTACAGAGTAGGAACCCTTCTAGGCAGAGCCTAGGTAGGGAATAACGTTGGTAGATCTTTAAAAAAACAGTGAACATACACTCAAAACTTGTGTCACGAAATCTTCTGTTAAGACATTGAGACCCAGCTTCGATGGATTTCTTAACTCCGGTGCGAGACCCAGCTTTGGCCCCAGAATTTCTTAACGAATCTGGTGTTGCACTGCACCCACCGGCACGGCCAACCTGTACGACCATCCAGCACGACCACCCGGCAAGGCTACCAGCACGACAACCAGCGCGACCACCCAGCACGACCATCCCCCGAGCACGACCACCAGCACGACCAGCCACCAATACGATCACCAGCACCACCACCAGCACGACCACTGGCACAACTCCCAGGACGAGCAGCCGCACGACCACCTGGACGACCACCTGCACGACCACAAGCACAACCACCAGACGACCACCAGCACGACTACTGGCATAACCCTCAGCATGACCAGCCGCAGGACCAGCCGCACGACCACAAGCATGATCACCAGCACGACCCCGAGCGCTACTAACCACCAGCACAACTGCCAGCACGACCAACGACCAGCAGGACCACCGCACAACCACCCCCAGGACCACCTGCTCGACCACCCAGCATGACACACCATGACCTAGGTAGTGCTAGGGGTTGTGAGGCTGCGTGGGGGGTTGTGCTGGGGGGTTGTGCTTGGGGGTTGTGCTGGGGGTTGTGCTGAGAGGTAGTGCTAGGGGTTGTGAGGCTGCGTGGGGGGTTGTGCTGGGGGGTTGTGCTTGGGGGTTGTGCTGGGGGTTGTGCTGAGAGGTAGTGCTAGGGGTGAGTGCGTGGGGGTTGTGCTGGGGGTTGTGCTTGGGGGTTGTGCTGGGGGTTGTGCTGAGAGGTAGTGCTAGGGGGTGGTGCTAGGCTGCGTGGGGGGTTGTGCTGGGGGGTTGTGCTTGGGGGTTGTGCTGGGGGTTGTGCTGAGAGGTAGTGCTAGGGGTTGTGAGGCTGCGTGGGGGGTTGTGCTGTGCTTTGGGGGGGTTGTGCTGGGGGTTGTGCTGAGAGGTAGTGCTAGGGTTGTGAGGCTGCGAGGGGTTGTGCTTGTGCTTGGGGGTTGTGCCGGGGGTGTGCTGGGAGGTAGTGCTAGGGATTGTGATGCTGCGTGGGGGTTGTGATGGTGGGTTGTGCTTGGGGGTTGTGCTGGGGTTGTGCTGAGAGGTAGTGCTATGGGTTGTGATGCTGCGTGGGGGAATGTGCTGGGGTGTTGTGCTTGGAGGTTGTGCTTGGGGATTGTGCTGTGGGTTGTGCTGAGAGGTAGTGCTAGGGGTTGTGAGGCTGCGTGAGGGATTGTGCTGTGGGGTTGTGCTTGGGGGTTGTGCTGGGGGTTGTGCTGAGAGGTAGTGCTAGGGGTTGTGAGGCTGCGTGGGGGGTTGTGCTGGGGGTTGTGCTTGGGTTGTGCTGGGGGTTGTGCTGAGAGGTAGTGCTAGGGGTTGTGAGGCTGCGTGGGGGGTTGTGCTGGGGGGTTGTGCTTGGGGGTTGTGCTGGGGGTTGTGCTGAGAGGTAGTGCTAGGGGTTGTGAGGCTGCGTGGGGGGTTGTGCTGGGGGGTTGTGCTTGGGGGTTGCTGGGGGTTGTTCTGGGGGTTGTTCTGGGGTTGTGCTGTGGGGGTTGTGCTGGGGGGTTGTGCTTGGGGGTTGTTCTGGGGGTTGTGCTGAGAGGTAGTGCTAGGGGTTGTGAGGCTGCGTGGGGGGTTGTGCTGGGGGGTTGTGCTTGGCGGTTGTGCTGGGGGTTGTGCTGAGAGGTAGTGCTAGGAGTTGTGAGGCTGCGTGGGGGGTTGTGCTGGGGGGTTGTGCTTGGGGGTTGTGCTGGGGGTTGTGCTGAGAGGTAGTGCTGGGGGTTGTGAGGCTGCGTGGGGGGTTGTGCTTGGGGGTTGTGCTGGGGGTTGTGCTGAGAGGTAGTGCTAGGGGTTGTGAGGCTGCGTGGGGGGTTGTGCTGGGGGGTTGTGCTTGGGGGTTGTGCGGGGGGGGGCTGAGGATTGTCTCCATTCTTTCCTTCGCCCGTCAAGGTTAAGAAACTGGTTCCAGCGTTTGCGAATTCGTTATGTTTGTTTAAGAAATTCTGAGACCCAGCTCGGGAGGGAGGGAGTGTCTTAACAAAAGATTTGAGTGTACACGCTTCGTGGCCCCATAGGGAGCTCCACCGAAGGCCCCAGTGCCACCGTCCACATGCGTCCCCCTCACCCATTCGGCACACATCTCACGCGTTTCGTGGCCATATATGGAGCTCCACCGAAGGCCCCAGTGCCACCGTCCACATGCGCCCCACACACCCATTTCGGCACACCCCTCAAACGTTTCGTGGCTCCATAGGGCGCTCCACCGAAGGCCCCAGTGCCGCCGTCCACTTGCGTTCCCCACACCTATGTCCGCACACCTCTCACATGTTTCGTGGCCCCATTGGGTGCTCCACCGAGGGCCCAAGCGCCCGTCCACATGCGTCCCCAAACCCATTTCGGCACACCCCTCACACGTCTCGTGGCCCCATAGGGAGCGCCACCGAAGAAGATATTCACAATTGCCGTACGAACAACTGCATGTGGTTGGGTCCTTCGCCAGCCTAATTCCCCCCCCACCCCCCCCACCCCCGCCATGGCCACCACCACCATCATTGGACTGGGACTGCGGGAACGGGCGCGGCCTCCGCTGAGCACGTGACCTAGATCGCGGCACGGGTCCACGAGAAAGGGATACTACATGAGCACTCCTTGAGCGAGCGATGCTTCGAAAAGATTACTGTAATGATCAAGGCAGCGTTCAAAAGAAACCTTCGACTGAGGACGCATGTAGTACGCGTTCGGTATTCAAGGGGGCCTCCATCGCGGGATCCTTACTAATGATCCCTTCAGCGAGGAGTCCTTAGTGAGGATGCCCCTGATAAGGACCCCCTCAATCAGGATCCCTGTAGCAAGAATTAACTGATGCGGACCCTGCCACCGGGGCCTTCGGCGGAGCTCTCTATGGAGCCACGATCCTCGTGAGGGGTGTGCAGAACTGGCCCGAGTCCGCCATGCGGACCCTGTCACTGGGGCCTTCGGTGGAGCTCCCTATGGGGCCACAATCCTCGTGAGGGCTGCGCCAAAATGGTGGACACGCGGAAAGCAGAGACAGAGATGGGAGGAGGGAGGAGGGGACAGCGGGATGTCAGTGACGCGGGGCGCTGTCTATTCAAAAAAACACCCAACACCACAGGATGGTTGGGAAAAACGAAGGATTGTTTGCTTGTTTTGCCCCCTCCCATGAACCACCAAGCATCACTGCACTGGGACTGCGGTCGCGCTAGAGGGCTTTGCCGAAGAAGCGAATCCGAGACGACCTCCTGGCGAAGTCCCGGAGCCACCGCAGTCGCCCCGCCCCGGGAGGGAGGCATGGAGGGAGACGGATAGACAGAGGGGGGGAGAGAGAGAGAGGGGGAGAGAGAGAGAGAGAGAGAGACAGCGCGAAGCGGAGAGAGGAGAGAGGGCGCGAAGCAGAGACAAGGAAAGCAAAATAAAAGGAGGAACTTCGCAGGGGACCCCACCCGTGCGGCACAGCACGTGCGAAACCCCGCGTGCGCGGAGGACGGCCACCGCCCGGACCGACCACGGGCGGGGAAGCCACAGCGAGCAGGCGCTCGTCAACGAGAATGCCTCGTCGGTCGCCGCGGCCTCCGTCGGTCGAAGCGTGCTCGTGGGAAAATTATCCTGGCGAAGGACCCAACCATAAGCAATTGTTCGTAACGCGTTGTGGGTGCTGCTTTCGGTGGGGCTCCCTATGGGGCCACGAAACGCTGCCTTGGGTGGGGAAACCGCATGCGAACTGCGCCACTGGGGCGGGCCTTCGGTGGAGCTCCCTTTGGGGCCACGAAACGCTGCCCTGGGCGGGGGAACCGCATGCGAATTGCGCCACTGGGGCCTTCGGTGGAGCTCCCTATGGGGCCACGAAGCGCTGCCCTGGGTGGGGGAACCGCATGCGAACTGCGCCACGGGGGCCTTCGGTGGAGCTCCCTACGGGGCCACGAAACGCTGCCCTGGGCAGGGGAACCGCATGGGAGAGCAGCCACTTGGGCCTTCGGTGGAGCTCCCTATGGGGCCACGAAACGCTGCCCTGGGTGGGGGAACCGCATGCGAGAGCAGCTACTGGGGACTTCGGTGAGGCTCCCTATGGGGCCACGAAACGCTGCCCTGGGTGGGGGAACCGCATGCGAGAGCAGCCACTGGGGCCTTCGGTGGAGCTCCCCATGGGGCCACGAAACGTTGCCCTGGGCGTGCGGGGCGCATGCTGGCACCCCCACTGGGCCTTCGGTGGCCCTATGGGGCCACGCTACGCTGTCCTGGGCGTGGGGGATGCATGCGGGCACCCCCACTGGGGCCTTCGGTGGAGCTCCCTATGGGGCCACGAAACGCTGTCCTGGGCGTGGGGGACGCATGCGGGCACCCCCACTGGGGCCTTCGGTGGAGCGAAGCGTGCTCGTGGGAAAAAAACACACACTGTGGGAAAAACACACACACAAAAAAAAACTGTCTGTGGGAAAAAACATACAAAAAAACACAGCGAGCAGGCGTTCGTCGACGAGAATGCTCCGTCGGTCGACGCGCGGCCTCCGTCGGTCGAGATGTGCTCGGGCCGGTGGGCCCCGCGCGATCAGCATGCAACCCAGAGGGCCCGCAGGGCCCCGCCCGTGGGATCCCGCCCATGTGGCACTGCCCTCTGGTGAGGTCGGGTGGCGGGTGACATACTAATACTATGATACCAGAGAGAAAAGACCCAATCATCATCTTTTTAGGTCTGTAGGGCTATAGGGCCACAGGGCTATATGGGCTCTTGGGCGCCATATGGGCTATATGGCTATATGGCTATATGGGTTATGGGGCTATAGGGCTACAGGGCTATAGAGCGATAGGGATATAGGGCTATAAGGCTATAGGGCTACAGGGCACCGGGCACCCGGGCACCCGGCACCCGGCACCCAGGCACCCACCCAGGCACCGGGCACCCGTCACCCGGGCACCCGGGCACCCGGGCATCTGGGCACCCGGGCCCGGCCACCGAATCGGCGGCGAACCTGGGCACCCGGGCACCCGGGCACCCGGGCCCGCCCACCGAATCGGCGGCACACCTCACCTACCCTTAAATCCGGTAGGACCCCTACAGAGGCAAGCTCTGATTGGGGAATGTGTCCTCCTCGGAGCCGTGCGTCCGGCCCGAACACATGGCCGATTTCGGAAACCCTGAACCCAAAAATGTTGTCATATCTCGACTACATGCAAGAGTGACCCTGGGTAAGAGTGACCTTTGGTGTGCAGCTCTGTGGGGGCCGCGGGGGGACCAGATACGCGCGCGCAAGACGCTGCTGCCGCATCGCGTTCGGCGATCGAGGGACCGCAGTGGGCCCGCACCAAAAGTCACTCCGGTGAAGGGTCACTCCTACAGTTGGGGCGTTGACCTAAGGAACGATAACTAAGGAACGAGGCCCCTTTTTCCCCTAAGTTT